AGTGGCTGGTATGTTGCCTGGCACAGAGTAAGTGCTGATACTTGAGGTTAGTGGAGGAAGCAGAGGGGACTTGGAGTTCAGGTTACCCAGTTTGGGATCAGCCCTGCCATCTTATAGCCATGTGACTTTGGTCATGCTTCCCCTCAGAGCCTCAGTTTGCTGCTCTGTTAGAATGGGAGCATAAGGTATCTTTGAGTGAATTACAAAACTAGCAGATTCCAGTCCCCACTCACCTCCTGGTTAGATGCACTTGGGCAGTCTGTACAAACTTATAGAGGCCGCCTTGAATGCATGATGGCTCCATGATTGAATCCCTACCACACGCCCAGCACCTCGGACATGTCATCTTGCTTATTTCTCATAACTTGGTTGAGGCTCAAGGTCTGGGTGAAGATCAGTGTGAAGTTCTAGGGTGAGCAGAGAAAAGCAAGTTCTAAAACTGTCCAGTTTCCTTAGAGAAACAGCTGGTTCTCCTTTCCGTTTGGTCCCTTTGGATTAAATACCTCACCCCCTCCTCATCCTCCAGCCCTTCGTTCTGCACCTGGTTTGTTGGACTTCATCTATCGTTGGATCTTCCATATCGATACCTTCTTTTCTTCAGCTGCATAGCATTCCCTTACAGCATACCATTATTTATTTAGCTTACCTTATGTACATAGGTAGTTTTGTGCATTTGAGAACATGAGCGGTCTTCAAAACGTTCATGAAAAAATTTGTATTATCTTTTAATTCAATTTTTTTTTTTTTTAAAGATGACCGGTAAGGGGATCTTAACCCTTGACTTGGTGTTGTCAGCACCACACTCACCCAATGAGCTAACCGGCCATCCCTATATGGGATCTGAACCCATGGCCTTGGTGTTATCAGCACCACACTCTCCCGAGTGAGCCACGGGCCGGCCCTAATTCAATTTTTTTGAAGTACCCGCCCATCTACTAAGTACGGAAGTGGAATTGCTAGGTCAAAGGGTATGTGCATATCACTTTAGCAACACATGAGCCTCTCTGCTTTTCCACAACTTCTCCAAGAAGATGCTCCCCAACTTTTTGATCCTCGCTAATCTGATAGACAAAAATGGCATTTTGTTGTAGTTCTAATCTTTTTCTTTTTCATTATGCATTTCATAGAGCATCTTTTTAAAGGAGCAATTGGTCTTTCTTGTTTTATGAACTGTTTCTTTTTCTTTTTTTTTTTTTTTACCTGCCTCTAATGTGTACCTGTCTAAGATCCCTCCTATTTATTCTGGCTTTTGCTCTGAATTTTGGTGCTGTTATTTGGTGTGTTAGATCTTCAATCATGGATAATACTCTTTATTATTATATTCTTCTTTGTCTCACTTAAAACCTTTTGCCTAGAAATTAACTTTACTTGCCTACTATGAAGGTAACAGTGCCTGCTTAGTGTGAGTTTACACTTACCTAGTATGTGTTTCTTTATTTTCAAAATTGTTGAGTCACTTAGCGTTGGGGATGTCTCTTACATGTAGCATACGGCTGGAGGTTTTGTCCTGTTCCTCAATCTGAGGATATTTTTGTCTCAGTAGTTTATTACAGCCATTCATTGATATGGTTAATATTTTGGTCTTATTTTTACTATCATATTTTATATCTTTATGTCTTTTTGCTTCTATCGCTTCTTAAAAATCTTTCAGTAAATCATCTGTTTTACTTTGTGTTGTGTTCCTTCTGACAATTTGGAAGTTTGTATTGTATTTTCAGTTCTAGAGGTAACCTTTACTTATAACTATGTAAAATGGATTTAATCTTTCGTTTAGACTGGACTGATTGTCTCCTTTCTGAATTACGTGGTCACAAAGTTAGTTTACAGATGTGATCACAATTCTCATCTGCTTTGTGACAGCTTTTTTCTGGTGAATTTTCTTGGTTTGCCATGTTTTGTCTTGTTTGTTTACTCCTTTATTTCTCCTATAGCATCTTTGACTATATCCTGTGCTGGTTCCTCTTTGAAAGAGGTGAACTTTCTTGGGTCAGCATTTTGTAGGCAGTCCATGTAGAGGGGATGCCAGGAAGTACTTTAAGAGGGCATCATTGCTTCCTGGTTCACAGGAACTTTGCTCACAGGATTGTGGTAGTGATTTTTTTTAGTCTTTGCTTTTATTCAGTCAGCAGATTTCTGTAGCTGTAGGATTCTCCCAGTTCAGAGCCCTCTTCCCATTCTGCCTCACCAACACACTGCTTTTCAGAGCCCTCTTCCCATTCTGCCTCACCAACACACTGCTTCCTGTAAAGATGGTGGGTCTGTGGTTTCCTCTGCTAGCCCTGCTGTCCTCTTTTCCCAGGGTGTCAGAGGTGGCTCCCACTGCCAGACCACATACCCTGTTCCCATTGTTCCCAATTAGGAATCATTGGTTTCTTCCTTCAGGGAGTGCCAACTACTGGCTAGCTCTGCCAGCTTTATCTGAGATTTGCAGCCACAGGTGTCCTCTGTAGGTGTTTTCTCACACCATTTTTGATCTTCACTGCTTTTGGCAGCCCTTTACTGTTTTTGGCAGCCTTTCCTTATGTAAATTATGGTCCAGGTTACAAATAGGTTCTAGGTTTGCTGAGGAGGGAGTTTGCATTTCTGTTTCTCTTTCTCCTTGATTTTGGGTGCTTTCAGATATGAAAAGGAGTTACTTTATCTGCTATCTTAAAACTATCTAGCGTGCAGATTTTTATGGGTTCTGGTATTCCCTCAAATCAGACGTCAGACAGAGCTCTCTGAATAGGGTCAACATCAGCTGAAACCGGGGTCTGACAATAATAGAAAGGAAAGAAAACGGAAGAAGAGAAAAAAGTGGGAGGGTTAGCACATGAAAAAATGCTCGACCTCACTCAGCATCTGGGAAATGCAAATCAAGACCACTTTGAGATACCATCTCACCCCAGTTAGGATGGCTAATATCCAAAAGACTGAGAATGATAAATGCTGGCGAGGTTGCGGAGAAAAAGGAACTCTCATGCACTGTTGGTGGTACTGCAAAATGGTGCAGGCTTTATGGAAAATGATATGGAGGTTCCTCAAACAATTACAGATAGATCTACCATGTGACCCAGCTATTCCACTGCTGGGAATATACCCAGGGAAATGGAAATCACCATACCGAAGGGATACCTGAACTCCAGTGTTCACTGAAGCTCTATATACGATAGCCAAGAGCTGGAACCAGCCCAAATGTCCATCATCAGATAAGTGGATAAGGAAACTGTGGTAGGTAAATCTACACGATGGAATACTCCTCTGCTATAAAAAAGAATGAAATACTACCAGTCACAACAACATGGATGGACTTAGAGAAAATTATATTAAGTAAAACAAGTCAGACACAGAAAGAGAAATACCACATGTTCTCACTTATTTGTGGGAGCTAAAAATAAATAAATAAGCACACAAACAAATAAAAGGTCGGGGAGGGGAGAAAACAGAATAACCACAAAAATTCCTTGAATTGTTTACATCAAGTGAACAGATATGATGTGGGGGTGGGGAGAGGAACTGATAAAGGGTCATGAAAATCAACTACAATGTACATTGAGAAGTGAAATTAAAAAAATAAAAAGAAAAGAAAAAAGAAACCCACAGTATACTTGTCTGTGCTGTGTGGCAGCGGGGCTTTTCCCTCTCACCTGGACTTTGGTTAGGGGTGTGCCACCGTTTGGGTGGGAGGTTGAAGCTAGGCAGGGCAGGGCAGGACAGGGCAGGGCGTGAGAAATGCTGGTCTGTTGCCTCACATGTCTTAGGGGAAGTTCCGAGCCCAGCAGCTCTCAGGCCAGGGAGGTGAGAACACATGCCTCTGCTCTGGACAGGCTGCAGGCTTAGCTCTCCATCTCTCCCCACATCTAGGGCCCATTCAAGCATCCCAGGCACCCTGGGTTCTGGCTGGTCATCTAGTGATGGTGGCCAATTCTTCCTTCATAAAAACTAGGATCTTGCCTCAGGAAAGGCTGTCTGGGGTAAATGTAGCAGTGTTTATATGCCCAAAGAAAGAACTGGCCCATCCAAAGGCAAAGGGTCTATGTGGGATACCCAGAGAACAGAGCCAGAGAGGAACACCTGCCTGCAGAGTCCCAGGCCTGGTCCTTTATATTATTGTCTCTCAGATTCCCATACCACCAGAGGAAGGTGTTTTGTCCCCATTTTACAGATGAGGAAACTGGAGTCTCATAGAGGCTAGGAGACCTTCCTATGGACACAGTTAAGAGATGCGGAGAGGGATTTGAATGCAGCTCGGTCTGGCTTCAGAGCCTGGACACCAGCTCCCTTATCCTTCCTGCTCACCCTCATTTACCTTCCCGTGGAGACCCTACCCCATCCCCCTTGCCTGGTCCATGTCCCAGTTGAACTTGCTGGGCCCTCACTTGGTGTCTTGCTTCTCAAGCTTGGCTGCATTTTAGGATATTACTTAAACTCCCCAGGGCCTCTAGGGTTGGGAACCAATAGGCCACATTCTACACATCAGCAGCCCGCATGTCTTGGGTGGTCCCCCTCAACTTGGCACAGGGCTTGTCCCCTGGGATCAAAGGCACCTGGGTTCTCATCCAGGCTGTATGATCTTGGGCAAGTCACGACTTTTCTGGGTTCAGTCTTTATTTCTAAAATAAGATGACCTATGATTGTCCTAGTGCAGAACACAGATTCTGAAGCCAGATGGCCTATGAATCTTGGCTTCATCACTTCTTACCTGTGGGACTTTGGCTAATAACGTATCCTCTCTCTGCTCTTTAGTTTTCTCATCTGTAAAATGGGAATAATAACATATGTGTCTTATGGGTGGGGGCGGGTCTTAAAGATTAAATAAGCGAATACATGTAAATCATTTCAAACAGTGTCTGGCATATGATGAGTGCTAGATTAGTGCCAGATATTATTTGAGTTATTATTATTATGCATGCAAAGGGCTCAGCCAAGGCATGGGCATAAATGAAGGGATCGGTAACCTGTTATTGCTGTGGCGGCTGCTGCTGCTGCTGCTATAACCCATGCCTTTTGCTTTTTTGCAGGAGCTTGGGCCCCTGCCCCTGCCTGGTAGAGGCTGTGGAGGTCCGCGGTCCGGAAGTCCGGTTCCCATCCCCGTGGCCCATCCCCGGCTGCGGGGAGTGGGGGCTCCCACAAGGTAGCGGTGGACTGCAGCCCCCTCCCCGCAGTGAACCATGGGCCAGAAGCTCTCGGGGAGCCTCAAGTCGGTGGAGGTGCGAGAGCCGGCTCTGCGGCCCGCCAAGCGGGAGCTGCTGGGTGCAG